CCAGATCGAGCGGGAGCGGGCGTCCCAGCACCTGTCCGGGGGCTGCTGCGCCCTGGCTGCCGTCTACCTCATGGGCAAGTTCTACGTGGCCAACGCTGGCGACAGCAGGTACGGCCCCGCAGGGCACCACCACCTTCTGCCCGGCAATTGGGGAGCGCCCCAGTGGAGCAGGGCGGTGCTGGAGTCATGGCTGGTGAGGAGCACCCAGCTCCATCCCTGAAGCTGGGCTGTCTTGGGGAGGACAAAGGCAGCAGGACCAGGCAGAGCCACCCCCTGCCTGCCTGAACGCCCGGGGGACAGCATGCCCTGCCGTCACCTCCACATTTGCCTGGTGCATACACGGGGCTGCAGAATCACCTCCCCAAATCTGGGAGTTGCTGCCTTCCTTCCCAGCAGCATCCCGTCTGCTTCCCAGACGGCTCTAGATCACACCTCAGTCCCTGCTGCAAGCACTGACCTGGGCTGTGAGTTGGGGAGTGAAAATTGCCCTCATCAAAGCTTTCAGTAATGTGTAGGAGGTCATTTGAGGGCACACTTAATACCAGTGAACTGTTTCAGGAGGAGGACATGCAAATCTATGTGCAGACAAGTCCCATGGGAGCTTGGAGCCCAAGGATTTTGACTGATACCAGTGGGTTACTGCAGTTGTGCCTGGGTGTGTTCATGCCCCCGAGGCAATGGCAGGAAGGAAAGTCCGCCTTACCTGAGGGTGAAGATGGTTTGAATTGCCCTGTGTTTGCTGCAGCGTTAGCTTGTCCCCAGCAATGTCAGGCCCTGGTAGATTGTCTGGAGGATGTGCTTCCAGCTCTGGGACAGAGGAGGAGGAGGAGATCTCTCATCCTTCTGCTTTTGGGTGCAGGGTCCCTCCATGGCAGCAGCAGCCTGGTGCTGGCCCTGCGGGACAGCAGCGTGCACAGGGCCCTGAGGCTGTAACCTCTGGGCGAGGGTCTGTGTTCCGTCCTCGGGCATCGGATGCTGCCAGAACTGGGCTCAGCCAGGCCCTGCATCCCTGGAGGAGACCCGCAGCCCCAGGCAGGACAGCAGGTGGGATGGCTGGGCCACCAGTGCTGGAGACCCTCGATCCTCCCATGACATCCAGAAACATCTCATCATCAGACTTTTATTTTTTGAACACATCAATCAGACCGGCCCCAGCCACGAGCAGCAGTGCTGGTGTGGGCCGGGCACTTGCACCCGTGTCCTGCTGCTGGCGATTTCTGCCTGTCCTGTGTGCAGTTCCTCTCTGAAGGAGGGTTCGCCAACTTTGTGCTGCTCCTTTTCTAACCATATTCTGTCCTTTGGTTTGTTCTGCTTCATTCCCCTCTGCCCCATGCTTCTCTTCCATTTTCTGTCCCTCCCTGCGCAGGAGGGAGGCGTGGGGGGCTGTGGGTCTGGTGGGGGTTAGCTG